TAAGTAGAAGAAAAGAAACAATGCAAATCAGAACAGAAATCAGGCTGGGTGCAGTGGCTCACACTTGTAGTCCCAGCACTTTGGAAAGCTGAGGCAGGAAAATCACTTGAAGCCAGAGCTTAAGATCAGTCTCAGCAACACAGCAGGACCCTATCTCTACAAAAAATTTAAAAACTTAGCCAGGTATGGTGGTGTGTACCTGAAGTCCTAGCTACTTAGAAAGCTAAGGCGGGAAGTTTGCTTGAGTCTAGAAGTTTGAGGTTGCAGTGAACTATAAGTGCACCACTGCACTCCAGCTTGGGCAACAGAGCAAGATCTTGTTTCTACAAAAAGTTTAAAAATAAGTCAGATATGACTGCACATGCTTGTAGTCCTAGCTACTTAAGAGGCTGAGGTGGAGGGATCACTTGAGCCCAGGGGTTCAAGGCTGCAGTGAGCTATGATTATACCACTGCACTCCAGTCTACGTGTCAGGGTGAGACCCTACAGCTTAAAAAAAAAAAAAAAATTAAAAGCACACATAATTAATAAAACTTAAAATAGGAAAAAATGGGGGGAAAAAATCCCCAAACCAAAAGCCAGTATTTTAAAAGATTCATAAAATCAAGCCAGGCTAACTAAGAAAAGAGAGAACATAAATTACTAATATTAAAAATGACACCTCATCAACAAGAGTATCTGTATAAGGAACATTTGTATACCTAACCTGAATTGTACTACACATCTTTAAAAGAAAAAAATGAAAGAGGGGCATCACCACAGATCCCAAGAACATTAAAAAGATAATCAAGGAATACTATGAGCAACTCTATTCCACAAATTTGACAACCTAAATGAGTTGACCAATTCCAAGAAAGACACAGTCTGCCAAAACTCATACAAGAAAAAATAGACAACCTGAATAGGCCTACATCTATTAAAGAAATTGAAGTAATGATTAATAACCTTCCCAAACAGAAAGCACCAATTAGCTTACTTGTGAATTCTACCAAACTTGTAAGGACAAAATTACACCAATTCTCAACTATCTCTTTCAGAAGAGAGAAGCAGAGAGAATACATCATAACTCACTTTATGAGGCCAGCATTATCCGAATACCCAAAACCGACAAAGATATTACAGGAAAAGAAGACTACAAACCAATATCTCTCATAAGCATAGATGTAAAACATCCTCAACAAAACATCAGCAAATCAAATCCAACAATGTAGAAAAAGAATTATACATTTAGACCAAGCATGATGCATTCCAAGTACACAAATGGTTCATTTGAAAATCAACTAACAGCCGGGCTCGGTGGCTCAGCCTGTAATCCAGCGCCTTTGGGAGGCTGAGATGAGTGGATTGCCTGAGCCCGCGGGTTCGAGACCTGCCTGGGCAGGCGAGACCTCATCTCTACAATAAAATTAAAAAATTAGCTGGGCGTGGTAGTGTGCGCCTGTAATTCTGGCTACTCGGAAGGCTGAGGCGGAAGGATCGTCGGAGCCCAGCAGGTCGAGGCTGCAGTGACCGGGAGCAGCCACTGCACTCCAGTCTGGACCACAGAGTGAGACTCCAACTCAAAAAAAAAAAAAAAAAAAAGAAAATCAACTAATATAACCCACCACATCAACAGGCTAAATAAGAAAAATATCATGATAATATTAATAGAAGTATAAAAAGCATTTCACAAATTTAAACACTAATGCATAATAAAAACACTCAGTAAAATAGGAATAGAAGGGAACATCCTCAACTCAACTTGCTAAGAAATATCTACCAAAAAAACCTATGGCTAACACCAAACTTAATGGTGAAAAACTCAAAGTTTTCCCATTAAGACCAGGAACAAGGCAAGGATTTCCCCCCCCCCACTACTGTTTTCAACACTGTACTAGAAGTCCTAGCTAATATGGTAAGACAATAAAAGAAAAAAAAGGTATTCATACTGGGAAGAAAGAAATAAAACTGTCTGTGTTCACAAATAACATGATCATCTAGGTAGAAAATCCAAAAGAATAACAACAAAAAATATCCTGGAACTAAGAAGTGATTACAGCAAGGCTGCAGGATACAAGGTTAATATACAAAAGATAATTCTTTTACTACATAACAGCAACAAAGTGGAATTTAAAATTAAAACCCAACACCACTTATGTTAGCATGCAAAAAATGAAATACTTAGGTATAAATCTAACCAAATATGTTCAAGACCTATACGAGGAAAATGACAAAATACTCAAAGAAGAACTAAATTAATGGAGAGATATTTCATGTTTACAGATAGGAATTCTCAATATCCTTTTTTTTTTTTTTTTTTTTTGAGTTAGAATCTCACTCTGTCACCCAGACTGGAGTGCAGTGGCCGCTCCTGGCCACTGCAGCCTCGACCTGCTGGGCTCCAGCGATCCTTCCGCCTCAGCCTTCCAAGTAGCCGGAATTACAGGCATGGGCTACCACACCCGGATGATTTTTTGATTTATTGTAGAGATGAGGTCTCGCTGCCCAGGCGGGTCTCGAACCCGCGGGCTCAGGCAATCCACTCACCTCAGCCTCCCAAAGGCGCAGGATTATAGGCTGAGCCACCAAGCCCAGCTCTCAATATTCTTAAGATGTCATTTCTTCCCAACTCAATCTACAGATTTAATGCAATCCCAATTACAAGCTCAGTAAGTTGTTTTGTGGCTATCAACAAATGGACTCTAAAGTTTATATGAAAAGACAGAAGATCCTGAAAAGGCAACACAATATTGAAGAAGGACAAAGTTGGGGGACTAAAACTATACAACATCAAGACATATTATAAAGGTATAGTAATCAAGACAGGGTAGTATAGGTAAAAGAAAAGGCAAGTAAATCAATAGATCAGAACAAAGAGCCCACAAACAGACCCACAAAAATATACTCCAATGATCTCTCACAAAGGCAATACAATAGAGAAAACATAGTCATTTCATGCTGGTATAACTAGACCTCCACATGCAAAAAATGAATCTGGACACAGACCTTACACCTTCTCAGGAAAAAATGGATCATATACCTAAATATAAAATACAAAAGTATAAAATTTCTAAAACAGAACATCTAGATGTGTTTGGTGATGCCTTTTCAGATACAACATCAAAGGCATGTTCCATAAAAGAAAGAAGTAATAAGCTTGATTTCATTAAAATTAAAAATTCTGTTCAGTGAAAGACACTGTCAAGAGAATGAAAAGACAAGGAGAAAATACTTTATTTTCTTTCTCTTCTCTCTCTCTCTTTCTTTCCCTTCCTCCCTCCCTTTCTTTCTTTTTTTCTTGAGTCAAGGTCTCAATCTGTTGCCCAAGCTGGAATGCACTGATCACAGCTCACCACATTTTCAACCTCCTGGGCTCAGGCAATCCTTCTACCTCAGTCTCTGGTTCAGCCTAGGCTTCAGAAACTACCAGGTACTATGTTCACTATCTGAAGAACAGGTCACCTGAGACCCAATCTCCACCACTACAAAATACGTTCATGTAACAAATATGCATGTGTACCCCCTGAATCTAAAACTTAAAAAAAAAAAAGGCTAATGATCTTACAGATATCTCACCAGAGAAGATATATAGATGATAAGTGTGTAAAAAGTTGCTTTATGTAGGTCATTAGGAAAATGTAAATTAAAACAACAATAAAATACACCATCAAATGGTGAAAATGAAGAGCAACAGAACTCATATTCTTTGCTGGTGGGAATGCAAAATCATACAGCTGCTTTGGAAGATAATTTGGCAATTTTCTATAAAACTAAACATATTCTCACATACTATTCATCAATTTTACTCCTTGGTACTTATCCAAAGGAGTTGAAAACATTATCTACAAAAAAATGTGCACACAGGTGTTTATAACTGCTTTATTCATAATTGCCAATAATCAGAAGCAACAAGATGTGCTTCAGTAAGTGAATAAGTAAATAAGCCATGGTATATCCAGACAACGGAAGATTATTCAGTGCTAAAAAGAATGAGCAATCAAGTCAGCAAATGATACAGAGGAAACATAAATGTATATTACTAAGTGAAAGAAGCCAATCTGAAAAGACTACAAGGTATATCCAGACAATGGAAGATTATTCAGTGCTAAAAAGAATGAGCAATCAAGCCAGCAAATGATATAGAGGAAACATAAATGTATATTACTAAGTGAAAGAAGTCAATCTGAAAAGGCTACCTACTTTATGATTCCATTGTACAAGAGTCTGAAAAAGGCAAAATTATGGAGAGAGTAAAAAGATCAGTGGCTGCCAGGGACTGGGGAAGAGAAGGATGAAAAGGTAGAGCATAAAGGATTTTATAGTTCACTAACAATACCTTATATGATACTATAATGGTGGATATATGTCTGTACACATTTGCCCAAATCCACAGAATATACATCACGAGTGAACCTTAATGTAAACTATAGACATTGGGTGGTAATGATATGTCAATATAGGTCCACCAACTGTAACAAATGTTAACGTATTACTGGAAGTAAAGTTCCATTTGAGCTCATATGACCACTATAATAATAACAGAATGACAGCATCTAACATTCAATGAGTTTTAACTATGTCAGGTACTATTACAGATGCTTTGGTGACATTAATTCATTTAATCCTTATAAAGACTGTGGAAGAATAACATCACATTTTAAAGATGAAGACAATGAGGCAAGTTAAGTAACTTGTTCAAGATTACATAGCAAGTAAGCAACAGAATTCAAGCCTAAGAAGTCTGTCCTCAAGACCTACTGTTACCCATCATGCCATACTGTCGCCTTCTGCCAAGCTGGCAATAGAAGATATCCCTTCATAGATTCTTAAGATAGAATTTTTACTCCCAGTAAAATATCTAAAAATTTTAAAACCTGCAAATTTAATTATTCCTTAGCTGAATGAAGAAAAAAAACATACTATACTTTTTTGATATTCACATATTAGTGTTCATTACAGAAAAATCTTGTAGGATAAAAAAAGTTTTTATACAAAAATGTACATATAATACATGTATTTACCTGGCAAAAACTTCAAAGTTTGCAGCATCTGTCTTTCCTGAGAGAAATCCACCATTAAATGAGTCATGTTGTCACTGACCTTTGGTTTCAACGAAAGGCGAAAGGCTGAAGCCATTGTGACTCTATGGTAAACATAAACATGCTTTTTAAAAGAATAGGAAGTATCAAATCATATTTAATTTATAAAATGAAAAGATAGAAATTATATCACTGTAATGATTTCAGAGACTATAACAAAGGTAAAAGTCAAATAGAAATGTGTTCCTAGAGTCCTTTAAAAATTAATTAAATAAAAAAACTACAAAATGCCTTTTAATTCAAAGACATGTAAGACAACTTTTAGCAACTTTCCTCCATCCAGTTTAATAAAACTGCTTATATGCAAATATAAGAAACAAATATCCAATATAAATAATTGTTATCAGACACCACATTCATCTGAACCTCTGTACACTCAATCTCACTGACTTCCTGATGCCAGCCTCACTCCTTTTCATAAGCCAAATAATGAATTTAAATATACCCTGATTCAAACATTCTTCCTAGCAGTCAGAGATAACCCCATGTACCCGCAAATAAGAGAACAGACAGATTGGCCTAACACTGTATATATAGCTTGGTAGTAGCTAAGGATAGTCCATGGATGAGAAAGGAGAGATATGAAATCACTATCAATGAATACCACACTAGTAGGTGTCACTCTGATCTGTCAACATCAGATACAGGGAAGCATTCTAAGAGAAACAGCCCTGTGAAACTATACGCCATGGAAATAAAGGAGTTCAATAAACATTCACTAGATGAATGTGGAGTAAAAAAAAAAAAAAATTGAAGCCATACCAGATATCGCTTTATCCAAAAATTAGAAAAACTGTTGTCAATTAAAACTTGAGATTTAAAGAAACTCTCTTATTCTATTAATTTGTAGTTTAATCTCACATTTTAACTTTTCATATTATAACAAATTTCACAAAATAAGTTCTTCATTATCTTTGGTTAAAGAATGATATAACAGTCCTATTGGTGAATGTTATCCTCCTGGTATACGATTTGGGAGAAGGAAATAGAGCTGGTGGAACAAAAGGAACACTAGGCCTAGCCAACTGGATCTGCCAAATCCAATTAAAAGATCAAAAAAAAGACAAAAGATGTCAACTTGCTTATTTACTTACTTTGGGACAATAGAGGTCAAACTACTGCTGTATTCAGTTATATGGGGACGAAAAATGTCAAACTATGGGGATTCAGTTATTTCAATTCATTTTAAAACTAGAAAAAGAATAACTTAATTTAATAGTAACAATGATTAAACAAAAACTGATCAGGTTATAAAGAAGAAAGTGCTATACTGACAATTTATGAGGATAGAAACTCACAATGACTGAATGCTTACTATATGCCAACTATAATGCTGAGTATTTCACGCATATCACATTAAGCTGCTGGCTCTCAAATTATAATAAAAATAAATTAGGAACAAATATTAAGTCTTACCAATGTTGTTCTTTACAGCTCCAAGTATCTTTTGACTTGAAAATGTCTGAAAGAGCTATTTAGATAGGTACTTAATAAATGCTCACTTGAATCAGTAAATGGGTCTGAACTTACTTGGTTTCTTCTAAACCTGATCAACTATTTAAATGTTTACATGAGAAACTGAAAAAAATATATCTGAAAGTATTAAAGAGAATCTTAAACCTGAAACCAGTAAAATCACTAAAACTTGATTTAATCACTATGACTTCAAGGAAAAAAAATTGCCTCCAAATGAATTCGAAAAGTTAATTGAAACCTAAAAAACAAGAATAATAACCCTTATTTTCTAGCCAGTTGAAACTTAGAAGTTTCTATGAATCAATTCAGATGTGCAACAGTGCCATAACTTTCAAAAGACTGAATTTTTATTTGTAGACATGTGCCTCAAAACCCAAACAAAAATTCAAAATCCGTAGATCATTCTCTACACTATAGGATCCATGCAGTTATATATGTTTTAATTCACCTTGACTATCCTGGTTCATTTCTAATAGTTCAAGCTGAATTCAAGAATCAATTCCTCCTTATTTTTTTCAGAGAAAAATAACTATAAAACACATGAATACTTTTAATTTCCTCTAACTACCTCTATCCTTCATGACTCCTTTCTTTCAAGAACCATTAACTCCCACAATATACATCACTAATCATATTCCAATATTACTAAGTACCCAGAAATATACAGCAGTAATTTGTAAAGTTATAGAGAGATGTGGTCTTATCTTCTCTTTTCTATCCTAAGTTTTTCCTCTCACTGCTGCTGTTCCTCTGTATAACTTCCACCATAGCAAATGATTACTGAGTTTTCACAGATACTTTCATTTTTTATATTTGATTCCCTGCTTAAATATGTTATACTCTCTAATTTAAAATCCATCTCTGCCTTTCTATAAAAGAATCCTTTCTTTGCTTTGTGAAAATAATTGACAATAGTGGAATTCTAGAAGCTCACTTTTTGGGAGTACCAAAAAACTACACCATACAGACTTGGACATTATGAAGCTGAAAATCAAATTTAAAAAATTAAGTCAAGACTTGGAAGTGTTTCTCAGGCAGGAAGGATTCAAACTCTGCCTGAACCCTGACTCTTGGGCTACTGATGAAATCAAGCCAAGATGCCGGCTTAGAAAAGGGGGGCAAAGAAGCCAACCTTCAATGATGAATACAGTCATGAAAGTTGGTCATAAAATTAAATTCCGACAAATGAATCTGGACAAAGAGAAAGAAGTCAGGAATAAGGATAAGATTCTGTGAACCACGGAGCCATACAGAATCTTGAAAGGAGGAAATATTTTGTAAGGTCTCTGGAAAGCCAAAGTTTCATTAATCTCTAATTCAGAAAATAATGAACCAGAGCAGGATGTAGTGGAATAAGTAACTAATCAGGAAGTATAACATAGCCAGGGTGGAAGATGGAACACTCAGCAAATTCCTACAGACATAACCCAAATCCACCTTATCCAGATAACTGACCTATCTAGCATCCATTCAACACACAGTCAGTATTTTTTTACCATCAAACTTTCATAATCTTTCTACATCCAAGATTTATAAGAATGAACTGTCTTTAATTAGTGCCTGACGTAAAATATACAAAGAATATAAAAATTAGTATTTGTGCTAAGAATGCTATGACTACATATGAATCCTGCCTCTAGTCAAATAAAAGATAAACCAAGAATTGAATTTTTCAGCAAAGATCAACAACAGAAGCACTGATTTTCATACAATCCATAGTGAATATTTTTGTGAATTATCTGATTATTTGATGAAGAATAATTTACCTAGAATTCAGAGTGGTACTTTGAAGAGCTGTGCCTTTTGGAGAATCTCCTTATCCTCAAATGAAAAAATCTTAAATTACAATCACACTACAGATAATGTTCAGTGACTAGACAGGCAGATTAAAACCATTCCTACTGTGTTAACACAATCCAAATGTTGCCAGCAAATCCTTGAACACTCTGGGATATTCATTACAGTAAGTACCCTCTCTTAATCCTGGCTCTATCAATGAGAAAGACCTTTTAAGCCAAAACCTTTAATAATTTTAGTTTTCTCTTCCCATAGAATATTAACTAGATAGTGATGGCATTAGAAATAGAAAGAGATGGCACCAGGAACAGGATGGGAATGAGAATACAAAGGTGTTAAACAGAAAAGCAGTGAAGAAAGAGAGTTTTAGCTCTTGAGGACTATTTAAAATGCTATGACATCTCAGAAAATAAGACCATTTATATTTAAATTTAAGAACAACAAAAAATACATTCTAGGAATATATATTTTTAAATTATTCAAAATAGTTCCCTTTCCATTAGTACAACTAATTAAGAATTGCTCTAAAATGAAAACTAACTATATTATTACACCAGAAATGAAATTCTTCTGAAGTACATAATTAACCACAACTATGTTTTTAAAAAATCTTATTGATATAATGGTTATTCCAAGAAGATACACAAAGGACATTTTCTTTATTTTTTTTGTACTTGGTCATTGGTGTTTTTATTTTAACTACCAAGAATCTAATAAAAAACTGTTTCTGAATTTCATTTCTGATTTCAGTATCAATACTTAAATAAAAACGTATGTTTATACCATACCTATCCTTGATCTGTCTGGCAGCCTTGGAGCAAATCAGGGAGAAGAGAAAGAAGGCAGTTAGTGCTTTTCATGCAAGTTTCAATGGCAGTGACATGCAAGAAAAGTTAGGCTATAAACCCTGCAACAGATTAGTTCATATTCACCAAAACATAAATTACAAGAAATTTGTATCGTTCACATTAGTTTTCATAATGTGATGTTAGAACTACAGTAGAAAATCCAGACCCCACATAAGTCATCTTTTAAGAAGAAAATGTAATACTTTAAACTAATTCCAGGTGCCTATAAATGTTTTTTCTCATCTTAAGATTATCAAAATATACACTCTTTAACTAAATCAATCAACCTCCTTCATAGGATACATATTTCTATGTATTCTGAAAGTTTTCTTGTACATGACAAATCTGCTAATTTTTCTTCAGAGATCTCTTTACTTCATAATGGTTGTTCCAAGTATTCTCTATATAACTTTACAGAGAAAGAAATTCTGACAGCTTGCCTACTAACAAATACAACTAGGCTGCAGTTCTACAAACTTTTATTCCAAAAAAAGAAGTTGTAATGGAAGAAATTCAGAAAGGAAAGATCAAAGAAATACTTCTAGCAATGGGTTCTTTCCCTCTGATGATTTCACAGATGTTGCAACTTAAACCTAATTATTATACATGTCTTTTTTTAAAAATGCAAGCACAAGTTTAGGAAGGGAACTTGTTGTACAGTCATAGAAAAAAATAATTTAAAACCCACAAAAATTATTGTCCCTTTTACATTTACACACAATATAATATATCCAGCAAAAAATTTTTTCCCACACCACCCAGTATAGTTAACACTACATCTGATGTAGACAAGGCTCTTTTGCTCAACACTCTATCCTCAGTGTCTAGCATAATGCTTGGGACAGAGTAATACTTAATGATTATTAAATTTATTGAATTTTAATTAGATGTATAAGTATATAGCAATGCTTCCATGGCCTCTCTCCTTCCATTCTACCATTGTTCCTACATGCTACTGGTCATTCTCATACCAACCTATAATATATTGGTCTGAGTACCTTTCTACTTTAAAGAACAAAATTGAGATTTAAAAGATTAGCATATTATTGTACATTGCTAACACTACTATTAATCAATTCTATGACCTTTTTTTTTTTAGTTGGAGTCTCACTCTATCACTCAGGCTGGGGTGCTGTGGCACGCGCATGGCCATCCCAGCATCAAGCTGCTGGGCTCAGGTGATCCTTCCACCTTAGTCTTCCAAGTAGCCAGAACTACAGGCACGTGCTACCACATCAGCTAATTTTTTAAAATTTATTTATTGTAGTGATGAGGTCTCGCCAAGTTGCCCAGGCCGGTCTCAAACCCATGGGCTCAGGCAATCGTCTCACCTCAGCCTCCCAAAGTGCTGGGATTATAGGCTTGAGCCACCGTACTCGGTCTTTATGATCTTCTATACTAATCATTCTATTTCTTTACTAAGGGATTTTGGTCTTAATGTTTCTAAAAAATTCTTCTTAAGGTTCACATTCTACAGCAATTTCTGTGGCATTTATGTATGCCTTAAGTAATAAAACTAAAGGATAAGAAATGTTAAGAAAAGAGGAATGGTACTAGTCGCCCTCACATAACCCAGTGATATGAAGATTATTATTGTTTTTTAAACAAACCATAATAATTCAATTTTGTGTCGAGTGTTACTAAATTTAGTAAGGTGCCATTTTTTTAGTGTGTATGCACATATGTGTGCATAAAAAGCTTTCATGATATCACTTCATGTACCACACTGTTTATGAAAAACTAGAAAAGGAACAGATGAAAAGCCAGATAATCTAGGAAGAACTTGCTTCTTGTAGTTATATGTAATACACCTGGTTGGTATAACTCAAAATTCCATGGCTTCTCTTTCATTTAGTTTCAAATTTTAATGTATATACTTTGTATGAATGCAGGAGGGGTTAAAGAAGTTATTTAGTGCAGTGATAAGAGGGCAGAATCAGCTGGGCTCGGTGGCTCAGCCTGTGATCCCAGCACTTTGGCAGGCTGAGGTAGGTGGATTGCCTGAGCCTGTAGGTTTGAGACCAGTCCGGGAAACTTGGCGAGACCTCATCTCTATAATAAATCAAAAATTAGCTGGGCATGGTAGCATGCTCCTATAGTTCTGGCTACTTGGAAGGCTGAGGCAAAAGGATCGCTGGAGCCCAGCAGTTCGACACTGGGGTGGCCATGAGCGTGCCACTGCTCTCTAGTCTGGGTGACAGAGTGATACTCCAACTCAAATAAATAAATAAATAAATAAAAGTCGAAAAAAAAAGAGGGCAGAGTCTAAAGTTCTGAAGATATCTCTCTAAAAAAGACCCAATTTCAAGAAATGTCAAGTTGAAAAATAATTTTTTTTCTGGGTCTTTCTCCCACAGCATAAAACAGTCCAAATGATACACATTACTATATAGCTTGGTTACTATAAGTTTCCATTTCAAGAATGGGGAATTTTATCAATTAAACATCTCTGTTTAATAAGTAACAATTGATCCCAGGATTTTTCCACTGCTCTGTTGCCAACACATTCATTTGCATCTACATAATTCCACTCAGTGAGTTGTGAAGAAGACTCAATGAATGCTCAGATTTATTTTTAGGTTGTTTGTTGTACTGTATCTTATTGGAAAGCATTACTCCAAGAAGCATTAGTCATATATTTGCTCAACATTACTACTTAGATCTTCTACCAAAATTCTTTTTGCCAACACTTCATTTCTCTGCATTCCTATCAGAGATGGCTCCTTCCTTTCTTTCTTGAACTCTTTCCCTTCCCTCATCTCTAAGTTAATTGTTTTTAAAATACATCTTACAGTTTTTATAAAAGATCATCTACACTGTGATTCCATATCTACAACGTTCCAAAGCAGGTAAATTAAAGTCTAGAGTTTAGGACTGTATTTAATGGCACTGACCTGAACACGTACAAATATCTAAAGTGTTTAGCTTTTCTGTTATGTACATTTTACTATAATAAAAAAGACAGACATTTAAAAATTACAATTCTGATTCTTTTATTTATCATAGAAAGCTGTCACCTGAGACCAAAATTCCTTAAGAAGAAATGTAATACAAGTACAATACAGAAGTAATCACAGATCTTCATAACTGCCAATTAAATATAAAGAAGCAAAATCAGATATTTCCCCAATTAAATATTAAAAAGTTAAATCCAGATCTCTTCTCAATCTCTCATTTTTAATCTGCAGTGAGTGAATAGCAAATATACAAACTATTTTCTTCTGTGAATTTATCAAGAACTTTAAAGATTAAGCACCTTAAAAAAGATGAAGCACCTTATTGTTTCTATATTTCCTCTTAATATTACCATTTCTCTTTTTATAGAAAGAGAGAAGGAAAAAGAGATAGTCTCAAAATGTTTTTCTTCAGGCAGAAATATCAGCCTTTGGAAAAAACCCATTGCATACCAGTTGATTCCATATATTAGAAGTTTTATATTTTCTGTTTACAAAAATAACTATTTTTTTAAAAGTATGTCATTTGAAAGACACTGTTCCCCTTTCACCTCACTCTGTACTTTTTTATTTCATTGTAGCACCCATGGGTAGAAAATCATTCTTTCCCTTCTAGTCTGACAACTGGATTATGTGTGGTAAGACTGTGATGGCTAATTAGTTCTATTGACTTGAAAATGGTTCCACTGACCCAGCTATTTTCACAGGAAGAGTTCAAGGTGGGAATAGGAATAATAATTTTGACAAAGAAAATAAGCAGTGTTCTGCAGTGTAGCTATTAGCAGAGAACTCAGATTTGATAAGTGCTGGCTACTTGTATACCCAGGAAAAAAACTAATAAAGTTAAGAATCATATTTGCCGGTGATCCTTCTAGATATATTTACTATAAACCAAACTTCTAGCAGTTAAATTAGTGAAGGTATGTTCTAAAATCCATTTCCATTTGTGCTATTTTTACTTGTTCACTTTCAGATAGCATAATGCATAGCTTCACATTTAGTTCTCTTGCTGAGGTATTAAAACGATAAATTATTAGAATTTATTTTTTTTAAGATAATGAAGTATGAGAAGATGTTCTGCCTGGGTTTTAGCCTATGCTCTTTATTTTTCTGTCTCTGTGTACTATTCACTGTAATCTTATTTGAGCAACTTAATGGGGGATATTCACAAACAGTATAACTTAAAGAATTTCTTTCCAGATATCTAACAATATACTGCTACTCTAACAATTAATCTTCAAAGTTGTCTCTCCTTAATCTGTCAGCAACTAGGTGTTTGAGTCAGGCCTGTAGTCCATGCAGCTGGCTACAAAAGTGAACTTTGTTTTTTACTTACAATCAAATCATTATCTGGATACTGTTTGGACTTACAAAGAAAGTAACTGAAAACAGCTTTCAGTTAAGCATTTTTCTTGAATGATAAAACTGTCTAATTTCATTTTTCTTGAATGACAAACTAGCCGATAATTTCTGGCTAAGAAATACTGACAAGTACAGTAAGTAATGTGCCATATAACTACATTCCAGTCAATGACAGACTGCATATAAAATGATGATCCCATAAGATTATTATATACATATTTTTTCTTTTTTTTTTTTTTTTTTTTTTTGAGTTGGAGTCTCACTTTGTCATCCAGGCTGGAGTGCAGTGGCATGCTCATGGTCACCTCAGAGATTATAATATATTTTACTTTGCCTTTTCTATATTTAGATATACAAATACTTACCATTGTGTTACAATTGCCTATAGTATTCAGTATAGTAATATGTTGGACAGGTTTATAATCCTAGAAATACTAGGCTATACCACAGCCTAGGTATGTAGGAGGCTATACCATCTAGGTTTGTGTCAGTATATGCTATGATGTCTGCACAACGACAAAATTGCCTAATGACTCATTTCTTAGAACATATCCTTGTTGTTAAGCAATGTATGGCTGTAATTCATTTTACCACATCTCCAAATGGTTTAAGCTACTAAGCAGTAGTAAAAGTGCTGGAAGACAAGACCAAAATATAAGACAGAATAAGCAAAGTGGCATTTTAAACCACAATGTGATTTATTTTATCAGAATCTTCTCAATTTACAATCTGTTAGGAACAAGCTTTAACAGAAACAAAGCTGGAAAGAACAAAGTACAGAGAAAGAGAAAAGAGTAGAGCATTGGGGAGCAAGAAGAGAGAAGAACTCTGAAAATGTCAATAGAAAGAGAAACTCGGGAGAAATAAACCTGTAACACAGTTTTTCCAAGTATCAGCCTTTCCTTAAACCAAATGGATTCAAGTTATTTTTAATACCTATGTCCACATTTTATACTTTTTCTATATTCTTCCTCACCCTAAAGCTGTCAGCTATTAATTCTTGCTGTTATGATTACGACTGTCACTAACAACTGAACTACTCCATTAGAGGGGAATCTATTGACAACTAGGGAAGAGAAGGAAAAAAAGAACTAAACATATAGTAGTACCAAGTACATATAGTCCACAGATTCTGAAAAACTATCTTGAATAGACGGTATTAATGCCTAGCAATGAACTCTGACACTCATTTTGATGACTAAGACATTTTTTTGCTTTCTGCATTTAAGGTTATTATATAAAGGCCCTCTGGATATGTGACAAATCATACTTGAAGGTACTTTAATTCCTCATAATCCTTTAATTTTTTTTTTTTTTTTGAGTTGGAGTCTCACTCTGTCACCCAGACTGGAGTGCAGTGGCCACTCCCGGCCACCGCAGCCTCGACCTGCTGGGCTCCGGCGATCCTTCCGCCTCAGCCTTCCAAGTAGCTGGAACTACAGGTGCATGCTACCACGCCCAGCTAATTTTTGATTTTATTGTAGAGATGAGGTCTCACCAAGTTGCCCAGGCGGGTCTCGAACCCACAGGCTCAGGCAATCCACTCACCTCAGCCTCCCAAAGTGCTGGGATTACAGGCTGAGCCACAGGGCCCGGCTCCTCATAATCCTTTCATATAATTAAGTGCAAAGGTAAACTTCTTAACAATCCACCTCCAAATTTAAGAATTAATTAGTGCATTGGTTTATAGGAAAATAACTTGTGTTTTGATTTGTTTAAAAATTATCAATTTTTAAAGTTTAATTGTAAAATGCAAAGATGTAAGTTAGCAAATGTTACCTTCGCGAGGTTTTTTTCTACCTTCAAGTTCACAGAAAATCAAAAAAATGAGAGCATAACTGGACACAAATGGATTATAAAGCTACCTTTCTAACACCAATGTAGCTCACTATATAATCCACAAAGTAAACAATATCAAAGTAAATCTTATCTTGATGATTATGTGGTATTATTTTGCTAGGTTTTTTTTTTTTTTTTTTAATTTTTATTTATTTATTTATTTATTTTTGAGTTGGAGTCTCACCCTGTCCCCTAGACTGGAGTGCAGTGGCCACTCCCAGCCACCGCAGCCTCGACCTGCTGGGCTCCGGTGATCCTTCCACCTCAGCCTTCCAAGTAGCCGGAATTGCAGGCATGCGCTACCACGCCCGGCTGATTTTTTGATTTATTGTAGAGATGAGGTCTCGCTGCCCAGGCGTGTCTCGAACCCATGGGCTCAGGCAATCTACTCACCTCAGCCTCCCAAAGCCCAGGATTACAGGCTGAGCCACTGAGCCCGGCTGTTTTGTTTTTTGAGTTGAATCTCACTCCATCGCCCAGACTGGAGTGCAGTAGCATGCTCCCAGTCACTGCAGCCTCGACCTGCTGGGCTCCAGCGATCCTTCCGTCTCAGCCTTCCAAGCAGTCGGAACTACAGGTGTGCGCTATCACGCCCGGCTAGTTTTTGATTTATTGTAGAGATGAGGTCTCGCCAAGTTGCCTGGGTAGATCTCGAACCCGCAGGCTCAGGCAATCCACTCACCTCGGCCTCCCAAAACGCTGGGATTACAGGCTGAATGACTGAGCCCGGCTATTTTGCTAGTTATATAGCTAATTTCCTACTCTTTTCACACCATTTTTAAATATGTTCTACTTTTTCAAGTTTTGATTTGATAAATTGGTAACCACTTAAAATGGCCTTACTTAAAATAAGAATTAGAATTTAGAATTCACAATCTCTTAAACACCAGGATCTAAATTAAAATATTAGCAAATTTTCTGCTCTACTCTTTATATTTTTATACTAAACATATCCCTTAAACAAGGATTTACATTTTTTATATTTTAATAAAGCATTTAGTTAAGTTAAGCAGTGGGACATTTGTCTGCAATAATAAATTTCACAAAGTTACAGTGCTCATAAGCATCAAGTGGTGATACTTTCCCAATCAGCTCTTAGAAAGAAATTCAAAACTACCTTTTAAATACGTTAACAGCAATATCAATCTTTGTTCCTTAGTCATGAAATGTTTATAACAAAGCTATGACTCAGTTCAAGTACACAAGTACCCTTAAAACAAATTACCAAGAGTAATTAAACTAAAAAAAGAAAATAATGTGACTCATTAAACTAAAATAATTTGTGCTTGACCCCAAAGACACATACTTCTAAGTATCTACTTTGGAATAAATGAACAGCTAGCATTTTACTTATCAAAAAAATACAAGCCTTTTTTAGTATTAGAAATAATTAAAATTCAAAATTAAAGAAGAAAACACCTTTTTTTTAAACACTACTTTCCTTTTAAGTATATTAGTATAGTTTTTTTTGTACCTTCGAAAATTCTTCAGGTTCTTTTATATCTAATGATCTTGTCGCAAATTCTAGTAGTTCTTCAGAGTTCTCCAGTGCATTATTACATTGACTAATCTGACTCTAGGGAAACAAACAAACAAACAAACAACTAAATCATTAAAATAAATTTTCCTATTGTCATTAGAATCTTAAAAATATATTGTTATAATGAACTTGCAAATAATTTTAATAGTAATAATTGAGCTAAAACATTTCAGTGAGCTATTCAAACAAGATAATTACCAGTTATATATAAACACATTTTAATTATCTTACTTAATTTTAATTATCTTAATACTTTATACCTCTTTCCATAATTTATCCAAAACATCTTAACTGTATACAGATAAAAGTATACTCATCTTTAAAACAAACAAAACAAGCAACTATAAATAACTGGAACCAAATTTACTTAAAGATTCTTCTCAATCAGAGTAGTTGGGAAACTATAATTTAAATTAAAATATTAAAATAATCTATCTGCAGACAACATCCTCTGTAATGAAGACTAAAGCTATCACTATAGCTTTTCCTTTGAATCATAGCACAAGAACATACTTAAGAATGAACAGTTAAGTTCACTAAGTTTACATTTCAATAACTCAAAGTATTATTTTATAACCACCTGTTGTCTATTTAATATCTCTTGAACACCCATAGATCATTATTCCTACTTTAAAAAAATCACCAAAATTGTTATGATACTGATAAGGAGAGATAAATATTAAGAATTACACAGGATAATAAAGTGTAAGATAGAAGAAAAAACAATGGAATCACTAAGATAAATGTAAATCTGAAATAGTGATACAGGAAGAAAAGACAGTTAACATCCTTGCTGTCACAACCTCCAACAGAATTTAACGTCTGTTTTATCCATTTTTTGCAACATTTAAAATTTTTCATTGATAATCAACAGCTAATGATGATGTGACAGAATAGTTGATCAAAAAAATCAAAATAAAGTCATCCTAATTTCAAAAGAGCCCAAATACAGTTTTAATGGAAGACTTCCAAGAATGAGATCAGCTGCCAAAATATTCATTACCTTAATTTAAAATCACAAAATCCAAAGTGGACAGAGTTTGCCTGAGACTCTATGACAAAAAGTACAGATAAATTTATATGACCGAATTGTGTATTATTGTTGGGAATTTAGTAAACAACTAAAAATATAAATTCAATAGTTTACAACAGCAATAAATGCAGCCTATTCTAAGAAGAGTACTGTAGATTTTATGTGTGTACACTTATATCCAACTCTATACAAGGTTGTCAGAAAATAAGTTTCTATATGAAAATACAAGAAAATACAGTTGTTCTGGAAGTCCAAAGACATACTTTAACCCAAAATCCATGATGGACTCAATTTGCCTAATTCTGAAAGTCTTAAACATCTTAAATTAAGAAGGAACAACACTACTAAAGGTAAAAGCTGGGCCAGGCACAGTAAGGCTCATGCCTGTAATCCCCCAGCACTTTGGAAAGCCAAGATGGATGACTCGAGGCCAGGAGTTCAAGTCTAGCCTTGGCAACACAGTGAGACCCTGACTCTACGGAAAAATTAAAAATTAGCAGAGCGCAGTGGTGTGCATGTGGAGTCCTAGCTAGCTGGGAGGCTCAGGTGTGAGAATCACTTGAGTCCAGAAGTTCAAGGCTACAGTGAGATATGATCAGGCCATTGCACTTTAGCCTGAGTAACAGAGCGAGACCCTGTCTCTAAAAATAAAAGTTTAAAACAAGATTAAAATCCACATGTTACAAAATGAATGCTATTAGACTCTCCTCCAAATCAGCACTGACTTCGCTTCAAAATGATAAGATGCTATGGACTTTTAATCTTTAATTATCTCAACAAATGAACTGCCTCTCCTCTCTTCCCTTTATTAAGTATGCTATTCCTCCTGCAACGTTCTTTACATTAGCTTCTAAAAAACCACTTTTCTTTTTTTTCTTTTCTTTCCTTTTTTTTTTTTTTCCAGACCACAATCCCCTGGATAATCAGCAGCCAGGGACAAGCCCAGCCTGGTCTATCTGATCAGTTCATTACTCCTGAGCACCATCCTGTAGGACCAGTTCCGAGACCAGGAGGACTACAGTGCTGCAACTGCCCAAGGGGCCTCTCTGCACAGCGCCCTGAGGAAGGACAGCTTTTCATGTCAGGTTGGCTCTTTGGGGCTGGGATCACAACGGATCAAATAAGATCAAGGTGTAAGGGGAGGAGGCGCGGGGTGGATGCATGCACTCACCTAGCATATGTACTCTCACACATGCCCCCCATGCAACACCATAGCACCGCACACACCATCTGAACTTAATTCAATTCCCTTCAAAAACCCCTCCTCATTATATATAGCTGAATAGGGCTTTAATCTTTTTTTTTTTTTTTTGAGTTGGAGTCTCACTGTCGCCCAGACTGGAGTGCAGTGGCCGCTCCCGGCCACCACAGCCTCGCCTGCTGGGCTCTGATCCTTCTGCCTCAGCCTTCCAAGTAGCTGGAATTATAGGCGCGCGCTACCACGCCCAGTTAATTTTTGATTTATTGTGGAGATGAGGTCTCGCCAAGTTGCCCAGGCGGGTCTTGAACCCGCGGGCTCAGGCAATCCACTCACCTCAGCCTCCCAAGGCATGCGATTACAGGCTGAGCCACTGAGCCCAGCTAGGGCTTTAATCTTAAATATTTATCTTACATACGTGTTTTGCTTACCTTTATAAATTCTAATCTTTTTGGCAAAAGAATCTTATTTTCTTTTCTTTTTCACTTCTTTCAAATTACCTTCTATTAGAATGTGAAATCCATGAATGCATGACAACTAGTTACTAGCAATCAAATGTCATTGTTAACTTACCCTATAAATTGTGATGAGGAGAAATACTCTAAGCTAGGTTCTCAAATGTGACTTTTAAACATTAAGATGTACAACATTTTTAGGGCTTTTCAAATTTCCTTTTTTTTTTTTTGCGTCAAAGTCTCACTCTGTCACCTAGGTTGGAATGCAGTACCATAATCACCGCCACCACAGCATTAACCCGCTGGGCTCAGGTGATGCTTCCGCCTCAGCCTTCCAAGTAGCTGGAACTACAGGTGTGCACCACCACACTAGGCTAATATTTTGATTTACTGTAGAGATGAGGTCTCGCCAAGCTGTCCAGGTTGGTCTCGAACTCCTGGGCTCAGATAATCCTTCCTTCTCCGATTCCCAAAGTGCTGAGATTTCAAGGCATAAGCCACCACGCCTAGCCTGCTTTTCAAATTCCTATATGTGTTAAACTATCTTTAGGGCAAGCATAACAACACATGATAAAGATGGTAAGACAATTTTAAAAATTCAGGTCAGGTGTGGTAGCTAATGGCTGTAATCCTAGCACTTTATGAGGCCAAGGCAGGAGGATGTTGAGGCCAGGAGTTTGAGACCAGCCTGGGCAACACGGCAAGACCTTATCTGTATAAAAAACAACAACAAAAACTGACCAGGCATGGGGGTATGTACCTATAGTCCCAGCTACTTGGAAGGCTGAGGCAGAAAGATCACCTGAGCCCAAGAGGTAGAGGTTGCAGTGAGCTATTAATGTGCCACTGCACTTCAGCCTGTGTGACGGAGTGAAATCCCGACTCCAAACAAAAATCCAATGTAGCAGGACGATGAGTTCAATTTCTCATAATGCTTTTTAAAAGTCAGTTTTATAAGAGCTCTGTTATCCAATATATGTACATTTTGAATAAAGGGGGACTAGAAAAAAGGAACTAAGCAGAGCTTGTTAGTCAACAGTCATCAATTAAAAGCTAGCAATATGAGATACATGAAGAATATGGGACAAGTAGGAATTATTTGTCTAAACCTAAATTGCAAAGTTCCTGCTCTTAAGGTGGATGTTGACAACAGTTTAGTTTTCTCTAAAAAACTGCAAGTTTTTAAAAAAATGTATCTATTGGCTACTTCCAGTTCCACTATGACAATACCAGAAAAACAATATACATTTCAGCAGAAAGAAGGTCCCAACAAACAACAGACACCAACCAAGTATTTGGAGCTAAGTAAGTGAAAAGGAAAATATTATCAGCAACACTGGAACATCACTCATCACAGGGATAGTTAAAGGGGTTGATAAAAATTGATAATGCACATTCAATATGCATGATATTTTTGCCACTTGGGGGGAAACGAGAAAGATAGGAGAAAAAATATGACTCACAGTCACTTTAGTGGTATATTTAATATGTGGTATGAGCTAGGGTGACAAAAATGTTGGCTGCTGGTAGATGAAAACAACTAGAGCTTCTCTGGCAAAGAAAATGTTCAGGGAGGGAAAAGAGGAGGTTGGAAATCAAGCAACTGAATGTTTAAAGGCTGCAAAGAAGGATTAGGCCCAAGATAGAATAGAAATCTGCACAGGATGAGTCTGGAAATCTTCAGAAGACGCTTCGTTTTCCTTTCTTCTCCAGTGTTATCTGTTTTTTAAATAAATAAATTTCTTAGTTATTGTAATTTATGGAAATTTTATGATTAAACTAATTATTCTTGAATGATTTAAGTAATACAACTCCCACTCCCAAATATAAACAACAAACCTCAACCTGGGGAGTATGGACACACTTGAGAGGGTATCTGACTCCTGGAAATTATATGTATACGGTGTATGTAAGAGAGAAAGAGAGCATTTGTATTCTTGCGTAGCTTTCAGTTTCTCAAAGATATCTGGGACCAAAATCAACACACAAAAATCAGTTGCGTTACTATACACCAATAATAAGCAATCCAAGAAGGAAACTAAGAAAATCCCATTCATAATAGCATCAAAAATAATAAAATACTTTGAAGTAAACTTAACTGACAAGGCAAGAGACCTTAACACTAAACTATAAAACACTGCTGAAAGAAATGTAAAACACAAATAAATGGAAAGACATTCATGTTCGTAGATTGGAAGACTTAATAATACTGTTAAAAAGTCCATACTACCCAAAGCAATCTAAAAATTCAATGCAATCCCTGCCAAAATCCTATTGATATTTTTTTGAATACAAAAAATTATACACATTCAATTAATACGGAATCTCAAAGTGAATTGCCAAAACAATCTTGAAAAAGAAGAGCACAGCTGGAGGCCTCAACACTTTCTGATTTCAAAGTACATTACAAAGCTCCACTAATCAAAACAATGTGGTACTGGCATAAAGACGGACACATAGACTAATGGAACAGAATAGACAGCTCAGAAACACACCCTTGCACAAAAGTGTCAAGATTAACCAGTGAAAAAAGGACAGTCTTCAACAAATGGTGCTGGAAAAAACTGAGTATCCACATGCAAAAGAATAAAGTAGGATCTTTGTTTAACATCATAAACAAAATTAACTAAAAGTTGATTAAAGTCCTAAACACAACTCCTAAAACTATAAAACTAAAAGAAAACGGGAAAAGCTTCAAAGCGTTGTATTTGGCAATGATTTCTTAGACATGACAACAAAAGCCCAGGCAATAAAAGCAAAAAAAGAGAAATAAGACTACATAAAACTTTGAAAGTCTCCATATCAAAGAAAACAACCAAAAGAGTAAACAGGCAACCAACAGAATGGGAGAAAATGACTGCAAATCATATACCTAATCAGGAGTTAATACCCAGAATGTATAAGGAACTCCTACAACTTAACAAAAAAAACCCATAAGTAACCCAACTTAAAAAGATGGGCAAAGAACCTGAATAGACATTTCTCAAATATGTATATATATATATACATGGCCAACAAACATAGGAAAAGATGTTCAACATCACTAATCATTAGAGAAATGCAAATCAAAACCATAATGAAATATTACCTCCCACCCATTATGATGGCCACTATTTAAAAAAAAAAAAACAGAAAATAACAAGTGTTAACAAGGATGTAGAGAAACTGAAATCACTGTGCACTACTGGTAGGAATGTAAAGTAATGCAACTGCTGTGAAAAACAGTATAGAGTTTCCTCTAAAAAGAAAATCAAAAAAGAGAATTATCACATAATCCAGCAATTCTACTTCTAGGTATATAGATCCAAAAGAATTGAAAATGGGATCTCAAATAAATTTTGCACATTCATGTTCATTGAGCATTATTCATCATAGTTAAAAGGTGAAAACAGCCCTAATATTCATAGACAGATAAATGGATAAAGAAAATATGGTATTTTTCTTTAAAAATTGAAAATTAATTTAAAAAAATGGAAAATTATTCAACCACAAAAAAAGGAATCCTAGCACATGGATGAACTTTAAGGACATTATGCTGAGCGAAATAAGACAATCACAAAAGAAAAACTATATAATTCCACTTATGTGAGATGGAATCGTCAACATCATGGAAACAAAATAGTAAGATGATTGCCAGAGGCTAGCAGGAGGAGAAAATGAAAAGTCGCTGTTCAAGGGATATACTGCTTCAGTTGTTTAAGATGAAAAAAATTCTAGAGATCTGTTACACAACAACGTGAATATGTTTAACATTACTAAACTATACACTTAAAACGGTTGAGTAAATTTTATTTTTTTTAACCACAATTTTAAAAAATGTATGACCAAAACAAAGTTAAGAACCATTCTTCTACAGGATAACAGGATAAGGGTATAGTTATACTCAGAAATTCATTAACTTTTTCTTTCCATAAATCAAGCAATAAGTAGACTAAAATTATTCATATTTAAGCAGCTGTATGATCTCACCTGTAACTCTTGTGACTTACGAGCTTGTTCCTGCTTGATGCTGTTAATCATACTTTCTTTTACCTCATCCAATATAGAGTATAAACTATCAAATTCTTCATCTAACTCTGAAAGAATATTAGAAGAATTTTCCTGTTTAAAAAAACAAAACAATGATTTTACTGAAGAGCTAACAAACATTTAAAAACCAAAGGATATACTGAAAGAGAATAAATTTATATTATAACAATCTTAGCCTAATATAAAATAACAAAATTCAAATAGTTAAGTCTTTAAAAAGAGATAAATCAAAAAGGTAGCTGCCAATGCCAACAATACTATTTCAGCTGTACCATCAACGAAGTTGCCTTTTATGAACTAGTCCATACTCTTCACCTTGCTGTTTCTACAAGACGATGTAAAAAGTTGTTTCAAGGTTCCCAACTTCATCCAGACTTTCAATCTCATAGGTAGATCCTAAGCCAGTGGTTCTTAACCTTTAGCGTGTATCAGAATCATCTGTGAAACATTTTAATAAAATATTACAGAAATTGCAGGGCTCGGTGGCTCAGCCTGTAATCCCGCGCCTTTGGGAGGCTGAGGTGAGTGGATTGCCTGAGCCCGCAGGTTCGAGACCCACCTGGGCGGCAAGACCTCATCTCTACAATAAAATCAAAAAATTAGCCAGGCGTGGTAGCATGCGCCTGTAATTCCGGCTACTCGGAAGGCTGAGGCAGAAGGATCGCTGGAGCCCAGCAGGTCGGGGCTGTGGTGGCCTGGAGCGGCCACTGCACTCCAGTCTGGGCAACAGAGTGAGACTTCAACTCAAAAAAAAAAAAAAAAAAAAAAAATATATATTACAGAAATTTTAGTTCAATCGCTCCAAGGAACAGTTTGGACACAGAGGGTTTCGCTGGTTGTGTGTAAATTTTAAAGTCTTTCAGGATATCAAAAACACTGCACTTATATAAGATAAAAAGAATTCAAAAGACTAAGCAATTCCTTATTGAATACTAAGAGATTTATCAAATATTAACTTTCATATTAGAACGAACATCAAAAATAATCTAATGAATAGCATTTGTAGTTAAACCCCTACATTTTGTGAACTAAAATACAGATAAGTGAGTAACCTGCCCAAAACCACATAATTAGCTACTTAGTAACATAGTCAATCAAGGATCTCAAGTCTCATGACTTCCCAGAGTTCCTCATTGCCTCCTTAAGCAGCATGCTGCTATTTCAACAAGAAATAGCTTAAAATATTTGTAAATTCCCTAGATAAGCAATATCTACACTTGCAGCAAATGATGAGACATAAGAAATTCTCATAAATTTTTCAACTTAAATGAATCATTCAATTAAGAGAAGTAAATTGGCATTGGGTAAGAGAAAACATACAATCTACTGTAATAATACCCTATTGTCCAAACTTCTGCTGATGTTTATAAAAACTAGATATCTCACTGGAGTCTCACCACCGGTAAAAGTGGTGTTAATCATTTTACTAGTTTATTTACAATGGTAAGAACAAGCTGTGGAAGATGGAATGTACCGTCTGAAAGGCAGAAGACATAACTCAAATCCCACACTAGCCACACAGTAATAGCATGACCTTGTTGTACAAGCCACTTAAATTCCCCAAAATCAATTTATGCATCCATAAAAAGGAAATGGAATTGTTTTCCTCTCAAACACCTGCTGGCATCTTACTATCTCTTGCCTTCTAACTCTCATGCTCCCATCTTCAGTGACAAGAATGTAGCTTAATTCTTTCAGTATGTTTTTTTTCCTGGAGTCTGAAGGGGAATTCTAGTAATTTGTCAATAGGAAGAAGGGTTTGGACTAGTTCTGTCTTAGGTCTTTATTTCCCCAGATGTCAAATGGGATGATTTTCTTGTCCATAGTCTAAGAATTTTAGAACTACTAGCTTTAAGCTTAAAGAAAGCAGATTCACCAAATTCTCCAATGAAATAGTATCATTTTGGGTTGTCTGAACATTTTAACAATATTAATTTTTCCAATCCATAAACATGGGATATCTTGCATTCATTTGTGTCTTCAGTTTTTCATCAACGTTTTATAGTTTTTAGTATGTAGATCTTTTACTTCCTTAAATTTACCCCTAAATATTTTTTTGATGCTATAGTAAATGGAAATGTTTTCTTAATTTTTTTAACCATCAAAACTTTCTTATTATAAAATAATACTTAGTGTTGAAAAGAACAACAAACAAAACAAAAACGAGTTACCCATAATCCTACCACTCAGAGAATGTCAATGTTAACATTTTTATACATTTCTTTTTTAATTTCTTCTTTCACATTGTTAATGTGTAGAAACAATACTGATTTCTGTATATTGATTTTTTTATCCTGCAACTTTACTGAATTTATCAGTTCTAACAGATTTTTGTTAGACTATTTAGAGTTCTCTATTTATAGAAGATCATGTCATTCACAAACAATTTTCACTTCCTTTCCTATTTGGACGCCTTTTATTTCTTTTTCTACCAGTACTACAATGAATAAAAGTGGTAAAAGTAGGTTGATTGCAGTGGCTCACACCTGTAATCCCAGTACTTTGGGAGGCTGAAGTGGGAGGACTGCTTGAGCCCAGGAGTTCCAGACCAATCTGAGCAACATCGCAAGACTTCATCTCTACAATCTCTACAACAAATATAAAAATTAGCCACAAGTGGTAGCACATACCTGCAGTCCCAGTTACTGGGGAGGCTGAGGCAGAATGAGCACCTGAGCCCTGGGGGGGGTGTGCCCAAGGCTGCAATGAGCTGTTGATCTGCCACTGCATTTCAGTCTGGATGACACAGTGAGACCCTGACTGAAAAAATAAAAAAGGGGCCGGGTTCAGGGGTTCACCCTGTAATCCCAGCACTCTGGGAGGCCCAGGTGAGTGGATTGCCTGAGCCCACAGGTTCGAGATCCCGGGCAACTTCACTAGACCTTGTCTCTACAATACATCAAAAATTAGCTGGGCATGGTAGCACACGCCTATAGTTCCGGCTGCTTGGAAGGTTGAGACAGAAGGATTGCCAGAGCCCAGCAGGTCGACACTGGGGTGGCCATGAGCATGCCACAGCACTACAACCTAGATGATGGAGTGAGACTCCAACTCAAAAAAAAAAATTTAAATTAAGTTAAAAGAAAAAAGAAAAAAAAAAGTGGTAAGAGTAGACATCCTTATCTTTTTCTTGATTTTAGAGGAAAAGCTTTCAACTTTTCATTTTTGATATTGATGTTAGCCATGGAACTGCCATATGCAGTCTTTATTGTGTTGAGATACATTACTATTTACTACACTATTTACTTCTATACCTAATATGCCGAGAGTTTTTATCAGGAAATATGCTGAATTTGTCAAATTCTTTTTCTGCATATATTGAGATAATCATGTGGCTTTTGTCTTTCATTTTGTTAACATGGTGTATTGCATTTATTGATATATTTATATTAAATCATCTTGCATCCCAGGAATAAATCTGACCTGATCATGGTGAATTATCTTTCTAATGTGCTGTTGAATTCAGTCTGCTAGTATTTTACTGAGGATTTTTGCATCTATGTTGATAAGGAATACTGGCCTGTAGTTTTCTTTCATAGTATTCCTGTTTGGCTTTGGTACCAGGGTAATGCCAGCCTTGTAAAATGAGTTTGGAAGACTATACTCCTTCCTCTTCAATTTTATGAAGAGTTTGAGAAGAGTTAATATTAGTTCTTCTTTAAATATTTGGTAGAATTTAACAGTGAAACCATCAGGTTCCAGGCTTTTATTTGATGGGAGATTTTTTTTTTTTTATTACTGATCCAATCGCCTTACTTATTACTGGTCTATTCAGATTTTCTGTTTCCTCCTGATTCAGTCTTAGTAGGTTAGGGTAAATGCTTCTAAAAATTAGATTATCTTGAGTTCTCTTCAACAATCAATATGTCATTACTTACACTGTGCGTTATCTGTCCCAAACCTGGAACCATTTCCTTAAGTATGCCTCTCCGTTTTCAATGGGCACTTTACCTTTTACTTTTATGTTTCACTTTTATCTACTTCTACAAGTAGAACTTTTACCATCAACATTTTCTTTCACTATTTACTGTAAAAGAAATGTTTTACTTCTCAGTACTTTTGAAAAGGTGTAATTTACTATTAATTGGAATTAGAAAACACCAAATGGAAAAGGACTGAAGGAGTACTATAATATTCCCTAGCAATTACTATTCCAGCATTTTCCTTCTCCCTTACTATTATGACTTTTCCATGGAGAATGCAAGAACAGCAAAGAATGCATTTTTATTTTAGCTGTCATTTAAAAACCCTGTTATCACCTCCATTATAGTTTATAATCTAGACTTGATGAGGTATATTTATACTTCAAATTTGACTCATTAGTTGTGACACACACAAAATTTTTTATTAAAAATAATCATACCTGAACTCCTTTCAGTGTATGATTTAATGTATCAATAAAGTTCTGAATTTCATCATTTTTATTTGCCAGTGTTGAAATGATCCTTTGTAGAGCTTCCTAGGATTAAAAAACATTAAAATATTATATTTCAATGAAAGAGAATTGTTAACCTCGTAACAAGCATTCTGTAAATAAACTTTATGTAAGAATATATTGTATAACAAATAAGAGCAATGTAAAGTTTCTTATTTTTCAAAATTTTCAAAGGCCTATAATTACAAAAGATGGTGTATTTGTACTGTATTAAACTCTCTTATTCCTAGTATACAACATAATCACCAAAATACTTTTCAGACTGGTAATGATCAGTATTATTTAATATCCACAGAATTATTTTAGGTCATAGATCACGGCAATGCAACAGTCAAATCCTTAAATACTGCAAAAACAAATGGAAACTTCTAATGCAACATCAGGACGCAAGGAATAAAAGCAAGGAGGCATGGAAATTCATCAACACTTTATTTATTTATAAAAATAAAAAACAAAGCCGGGCTCAGTGGCTCAGCCTGTAATCCTGCGCCTTTGGGAGGCTGAGGTGAGTGGACTGCCTGAGCCTGCGGATTCGAGACCCGCCTGGGCAGCGAGACCTCATCTCTACAATAAATCAAAAAATCAGCCAGGCGTGATAGCGCATGCCTGTAATTCCAGCTACTTGGAAGGCTGAGGTGGAAGGATCACCGGAGCCCAGCAGGTCGAGGCTGCGGTGGCCGGGAGCGCGACAGAGTGAGACTCCAACTCAAAAAATATATAAATAAATAAATAATAAAATAATAAAAAACATATTTTAGAAATATAAAACCAGATAATAAATAAGTGTGCATCTGGAAGCAACATTCATTACAATATTTATAGATGCTGCAGAACCATAATAAAGTAAGCAATTTTAGTAGCAAATACCCCAGACTTTGTCAATGCTTCCTATTTAAATAAAACATTTGGTTGTTTAATTTTTCATACTCTATGGTTCAGTGCTGTCCAATAAAATTTTCTGCTCTGATGAAAATTTTCTATAAATATGCTATCCTATATGGTAGCTACTGGCCACATAAAGCTTAATGAAGTCTTGAAAGGTGACTAACACAAATGAAGAACTAAATTTTTTTAAAGTTTACTTTCAGTTTGTATAGCCACATGTAACCAGTGCTGTCACACTGAAAAGGTCTATTTGCTTAATAACACTTTATGGGTAGCAACAGCAAAAACCAAACAAGGTACTTGTATTGCCAATAAAAGTCAAACTTTCAGTTTATAATGTTCCCAGAAGCACAGAACTATTTTCTGTAAGCACCTATAAAAGTTTAAATATTTTGGTGCGGCCTACAAGACTTTGTGGGATAAGGCTCTCCTCAAAAATATAATCAAATGTTGATAAAGGGTAATATATAAAAAGCCCAGGAAATAATCTGAAAGGGATAACATTTTACACAAATGTTCATAAAGTATTATAGTGAAAAATCTTTAAATCATTACAACAGTTCTCATTTAATTCTCACCACAATTTCTAGAGATAAGGAAGTTGTTGTTATTATCACCTTTGGGGCTGCCTAAGGGTTCTCTGTTGTATTTACTTACCTACATTATTTCTCCCCATCATCACCACTGGTGGTATTTTAGTAGAACAACACAATGAATTATGCAATGAAAGAAGACCAATGACACTAAGAGTTAGCTGTTTATCTGTCAGTGCTCTTCCCAGAAACTGGTGCACTAAAATATGAATATAAAGATGACAGCAGAATGGAGCCAGAACTTGGGGGTGGAAGATAAGCACAGATGGTAGGGCATCAGGGACAGTACAGAGATACAGAAAAGATCAGAGGCCTAAGAGAGAAGAATCTTCCAAGTACTTATCCAAGATAGATTCTATAAGTGTATAAAGGCAACACAATGGAACAGTAAAAAAAGTTCTGCACAATCCTGACTGTTTATAGGAGGCTTCAGTTAGTAAGATTGGGCTCTTTCTGGCTAATGGACTGAAATGCTTCCCCTTCTACCCCTCATAATGGCACAGTTATGTCCATATAGCACAGATGAGAAAACAGAGATTCAACTGGTTGCCCGAAGTGACACTGCTAATAAGGTAAAGATTATGCTCAGTCTATCTCCAAAGCCCATGCTTGTAAGTATTTTAGAATACTGCCTCTAAAGCCAACCAATTAGCTCATGATATGGTATGCCCATACAGTGAAGTATACATTCTTTAAACATCTAGTTTGCTAAGAATTTTCAATGACATAGAAAACTACTGAAATTTTCATAGTGCAGAATCACAGTTTGAGCTTAAGCTTTGTCCACTGGAAGGCATTATCTTGTGAACTTCAGGGTAAAATTACTATTCTACCAAAACAGGGGTAGAGGAGTCTTTTGAAAAAGATTTTAGTCTATGAAAAAGAGGAGCCAGGCCCAATGATTTCAACCCAATAACAAAATTTCAATCATGACATATTGTGAGTTTAATAAAAAATGAAAAAAATTTCAAATATTTGGTATATTTAAAAGGCAAATATAGTTAAGAAAAAAAAGTCCTAGCACTAAATAGTTTCCCACATTTTTTTGTCTGAGTTTAGTAGCAAACTTTGTATTTGATGAATTATGTGGCAAAAACTGAAGTTACTGCTCCAAATAGGTAAGCTCTGAGTTCCAAATAATTTAATGAGAAGCCTAAGTTTGTAAAGCACCTGTTATTTACTACATATAGTCAAAGACATCTAAATGTTCTAATTTTTATCAGGTCTTCAAGCTAGAGCCTCTATACCGTTAAAGAGATATCCACTTGCTGAAAGTTAATAAACTCTGGTCTAATAGTGATGTTAGAGATTAGAATATAGCCTTTACCAACTGCAATGTTCTCAATCTCTTTAGAGCAGCACTGTCCAATAGAAATATAGTATGGGCCAATAGCAGTCACATCAAAAGAGAGAGAAACAAGTGAAATTAATTTTAATATTTTTCTTAGTCAATAGATCCAAAATATTATATTATCATTGCAACATGTAATCAATATTTAACAACTATTAATGAGTTTCTTTTCTTTTTGGTACTGAGTCTTCAAAATTCAGTGTGTATTTTATACACACAGAGTATTTCAATTCAAATTAGTCACACGCCAAGTGTTCAAAAACCATATGCAACTAGAAGCTATCACTGGGCAATACAGACTTAGAGGCCTATATCATCAAAATAGTCCATATATTTCTGAGTGGAGATAAGGCAGAGACCCTCTATTAATCTTATTATTTTACAATTAAAAATAAACAAACCTAAAAACTTTCTGAACTTTGTTCTTGGAAGACCAGAATTTCTTTATATGCTTAGGTATACCAGATTCTTGAATTACAATAGTTACATGTGGCTATAAGTTAAAACATTACAACCAAGCTTCTTTATCAAAATTTCATTGATTTCTCAGTTTCTGTTTACATAAATATTACCTCCAGAAGCTGAAATATATTATAAAATTACCAAACCCCAAAAATAGGTGCATAAGCAGCACTACTTTATGATCTTTCTAATACCTAACAAAAGAAACAAATGCACTCTTCTCTCCTGTAAAATTTACACTTTTTATGAATGTTTTTGGTTAGAGAAGACTTTCCAGGGATCACAAAGAGTAAAAATGTCCATGTCAAGGTTGGCAGCTGACAAAAACAAGACTGCAAGACTGCATCATGGACAGCAGACAAGTAAGTTATACAAACTCAAAGAATTATCAAGATCATATCCATTTCGTATAATACTGTCCCATACCTCCAAAAAATAACACCCTGAGGTTATAGTTAATCTTAGCTACACCATTCCCTTTTAATTCAAAGTTATATTACCATAGAATGAGAGACACTTTTTCTAATTTGTATTGACCTAAGAAGTATTAATAACAATACATTTGGAAAGAAATCCTATAATCTCTGTGAGTCTTTGGGAGAATGGTATTCTACATAAATTGCCTATGGCCTCAAATATTCTACTTCCCCAGGAAGTGGCTAGGAAAGAAAGGTCTTTAAAGGTTGATGTAGTATTTCTGGGAAATATGGTCTCATTCATTAAAGAGAGAGCACTCTATAGCTCACATTTTGAACTTAACTGGGAGTTGCAGTACAGCATGAGATAAACAGCCCACTGCGAAAGCTGCTTTACCTTATGCCAAAGCCACAAAGACTTAAGGACTAGATTATTTTCAGGGGATACACTCCAATCTCTAGGTAGGGAGAGCTTCAGAGCCTTTGCTGTAGTAAGCCACTGAAATACTGTGAGAATGGACAAGTCAGCCACAGGGGGCTTTGGAGTCCCAGTATCTAAAGTCACCTATATTTTCTAACCTACCAATTGCATTAGTAAGCAAAGCTGCAGAAGAAGCAACCATTCAGCGAACCAAGTCAGAAAACCAAAGCAACAAATGTGACCTTGGCAACTAATACAGATAAAAGGATGATTCAATTCTTAACTTTTCTAAGCTTAGAGGGAAGAAGGTGAAATATCGTAAAAGTTCCCCAGGGCAGACTACTGAGACAGGGGCTCCAGAAGCTCTCAATCCGCTTGCCCTTTAATCTGTAAGGGCTGTGGAGAGGATGAGCAAATGCAAAAGACTAATCAACAGCTCACTTTTAGTATTCTAAAACAGTAAAAGTTTTTGGGAGGGAACCAGAGCTTCAATCATTTTGGCTCTCAGAATGATGGGGAATGGCTAGAGCGAGGGTGGAAATGACGTAAAGTTAAAGGAACTAAAGAACTGGGTGTTCAGTAGAACCGGAAAACAAGTTGTAAGTAATCAAATATTTAAGACACACTATCATCAACACCAACACTTTCAAAAACTAAAGGATTAGAATTACATGAGTTGAATTCTGAAGCTTAACCCTAACTTATGTATGTGACAAGATGCTAAAAATTTCTCTGGGAAGGTAGGAATCAGGGAAGAGGCTTATATAGGGATACTATACACATAATCTAGGAGGTAGGCAAGGGAAGGCTGGTTGAATAAGTACCAAATCACTTTTAAAAGTGATTTCTAAATATGGCAGGCAATATGCCAAGGTAGAGAGAGATGGAGGGAGGGAGGGAGGGAAGAACTAAAAGACACCATAATGCAATGAGTTTTCTACCCCAGTCTATCCCCCAGGACTTCACAAAGGCCATCATCATTTCCTCTCATTTGTGCTCTACATGCAGTCACAAAGTTCGATAGATTTTACTTACTTTTTTTTCTCTTTTTTTTTTTTTTTTTTTGG